CAGCTCCAGGTTGAGCTGTTGTTCAGCATCTTAGCTGTGGAGGGCAGTGTCACTGGCCCTCATATGTGGGATCCGAACTGGGGCCCTCTAGCATCCCAAGCCAGTTCTTAACCATCGCGCCACTCGGCCGGCCCCATTTTTCATGATTTTTAAAAATTTGACATAAACTTTAGGTTTCTATGGATTTATTCATTTGTGTAATCATGATTTATAAAACATCTTCATATGCTATATTAAGAATATAATCCTTTGTCAGTTTTGTTGAAACTATTTTTCCCGGTGAGTCATGTTTTTTACTGTTGTATTGCATTATTTACTCTTTATAAACTTTTTCCCCCCCACGGGGACTTATTTGCAATGTTTCGGATTCTTTAAACCATGGCTAAAAATACTATTTTTCCCTAAATATATTCTGTATTTTATATGGCATATTTAGATATACTTCCTTACCCCAGAATTACATTTTTTACTTGTATGATCATTTATTTGTTTATAAATTACATAAAAATAAATTGCATATAGATTAAAGACAGGATCTAACATTTTTCCAGGTTTTTAGCTATTCACTTTTGTTTGTTGAAATAGCCAAATGAGAAACAAGTTTTAAAAGTAGCAACATCTAAAGAAAATGGAGAAGGAATCCCAGGATGATTATGTTCTGTTGAATAATCTATGGCAACTATAAAGATTAGAAATGTTGCATTTGTCACTTATTAATTCCCACATATGCTTGAGTCTCTTTCTGAACTCTTTATCATTGATCTCTATTGTAATTCGTTATCGCATTGTTTTAGTTATTAGAGTTTAATAAAGACACTTTAATATCTGGAAAGCTCCCTTTCTGTCAAAATGCTTTGTCATCCATGAAGAGCTGTTCAAAACTCTGTCCCTAACTCAACTTTCTCTCTGGTGATCTTACTCAGGCTCATGGCTTTAAGCATCTTTCTTTCTTAATGACAACATCCCTATTCATGTCTCTGGCCTACACCTCTCCTGTGAACTCCAAACTCCATTATTCCCTGGGAAGTTGAACAGGCATCTTTGTTTAAAAAGATCAGGACTAAATCTTTGAATTTTTTTTTCTCTCCAGGTCCTCTCTTCCCCAAGTCTTCTCCATCCCAATAAATAGCATTATACCAGCTACTCAGATCATATGAAGGGCAGATTTAATATTGTAGCTAGCCCATCATTATATCAGTGTAGAAATGGTTGATTTTTTCTAACATATCTATTAAAATAAGAAATGTGACTTTTGGGGGGGAACAAGTTAAATCTACACTGAATCTAGAGTGTCAATATTTTTGTGTGATTTAACATGTAAACAAGGGGTGCTAAAAAAAAGGTGCATGAAGGACCCTTGGTCCTATGGAGTATTTCAGGAGGTTATTTTTGTGTTTGTAGCAGGGGAACTGGTATCTTCAGCTTCTCTCTCAAGGCTATTGTGGCTTCTTGCAAGTTTCTGGGAGCCAAACAGTGTTAGAAAATTTGCCCACAAGCAAAGAATGTACTATCACACTTCTATATTTCTCAGAGTACTTTTCTTGAAAATACTTGATGTATTTTCCTGTAAATTTTAAATAATTAAAGTACATTCGTAGTTGTGGTTTGAAAAACTGAAGGATGAAAATAGTCCTGAAGAAGAACATACCAAGTGGAGATGAATTACAGACTTCAATAAGAAGAAAAGTTAACATAAAGAATCGTACATTAAAACAAGAGGAAGTTCTATATATCTTTTTTTACTATTAGGTTAATAGTTGAAAGTGGCAACTCTAATAATATATAATCAGTGGAACAATATAATATGACTTTGAGAAAAACTTTAAAAAATGCCATATATGAAACAAATAATATAATTTCATACATTACTATTTGGTGATTAATAGTAAAGAAATTATTTTGCATCTGGTGACCATCTTGTATTATTTAATAAAAATAGTCACAAATAGCAACAACTTTTATGAATAGGAATATCCAAAGAAAAGAAGAATGCGTTTTATACTGATGATCCTCCATTTGTCCTTGCAGATCCGTTCTCTGCTCTTCTCTGTGATGCTCTGCGCCCCAGCAGGCTGACTTCTATGTCCTGCACCACTGAGCTCTCTCATACTCTTACTTCCCCTTGGGTTTATCAGTGGGAAGGACCAGGTAGATACCAGAGAAGAGGGTTCCTGGGGAGAAGGAAAGGAGGGAGATAGAAAGCCCATAAGAGAGAAAGAGGCATAGAGTGAGTTTTGCTTTTCCGGAAACAACACAAATAAAATACTCAAATGTTATTTGTGATTCTCCACATGGGTTACTTGTTTCCTTCTTTTGTTTTTCTGCTGTTTTTGCAATGTTCAATTTTATACATTGATTATGAATAATCTTTGAAATTAAAAAGAAAAGTTTTTGTGGCAAACGAACTATGTCTTGTGTCACATAGGGATATGAAGTTATTTTCTTTATTTAAAATATTATATGGAAATTAAATTCATTATTATATCTGTCACTGACTTTTATTAACATTACTTACATTTTCAGGTCACATTTATTCAACCCAAATTCTTTACATTCATCAAAAAAGTATGTTGCCTGCCAATCCCTTTCAATTAAATATGCATGTAACTTAAAAAAAAACCTAGAAGAAATACTAAAATACGTTTCTAAACTTTTGTTTGCAATAATTTCCAAACTAAAATTTTAGTTATGAAAGTAGAAACATTTTAATAGTGTCATAATTTGTGACTTATATTTGTTTATGAAATGTCAATCCTCAAAACTATTTCACTTTGACATGTCAATTTTATAAATTACTTCAGGATAATTCTTTTCTAGAAAAGCAAAACTTTACTGAATAATAGTTATATCTTTATATTTTAGGTATATATAAAAGCAGTACAAATAATTGAGCTTTTATCAACCCTTTTAATCTTTTCAATTTGTATTCTCTTGTATAATGGCCCCAAAGGACTGTTTAGTTAATTAAATAAGCAATGAACTTTCAAAACACCAGTGGAATACACAGATGTAATTTAATTACCAAAATTGAAGAGTCCATTCTTTTCTTTAAACCAAATTACAAAGTAGAACTAGACCTTAAGTCATGAATTTTAATTTTTTAAAATTTCATTTATATTCCCATTTCATTTAATATTTATTTTCAGAAACCACTTCTACTTAAAAAACTAACTCATTTGTTGATTAGTAAAGCCTGTATTTATAGAACTAAAATTAATGAGGAATTTTCAAAACCTAAAATGGCACGGTAATTCAGAATAATACCCCTAAGATTTGTACCTTGTGTCTGACCACAGAAAGAGATGTAATGTGTAATTATACCAGAATTCTCCAACCCAAATGTGCTTGTTAAGTTTGTTTATCCAGTCATACCACATGCCACACAGCTGCAAACTATTTAGAGAAGGTTTACTAGACACTCCTCTGTCTAGGAATTTTTTCTTTCTTTCTGATTTTCTGCCTCATATCACACTGGGGATAATTTAATGTGACTACATTAAGTGTTTTCTGAACCACTGCTATTTCTAAATAGTTCTGATGTCTTTGGGGGGCACCCTTTTTTCAGAAGCCAGATTTCCTTTAAAGGGATTCTGGTTCAATTAATTAACTTAGTATATTGAGCATGTAAGTTGATACTAACAACCACAATTATTATTTTGTTCAACAGTGGTCTACATGCTGGGGCTGAAACACAGAATATGGCTCATAGATGACTGTTTATATGGAGAGCACATTTAAGGGGGGACCTAAAACCAATAAATAACTAATTAAATGAGAACTTTCCAGAAAGAAATGATAAGCACATAAAGAATGACTGGATGATAATATTGCATGTCAACTATAATTGAATCTATATATAATCACGGGACATGGAGTATAGTGTGGGAGTGGAGTCAATGGAATTGTAATAGATACATATGATATGGAGGGAGAGAGTGGGGTGGCAGATTGGGGGAGAGGGCTTGTCACTTTGAGGGGTAAAAAGTATAAGTATTGCACTGTATTGTACAGCTGAAACTAATAAATAAGATAAAATTTTAAAAAAAAAGAATGATTGGATGACACTTTCCTAGAATGCCTTTTACAGGGTCTATTTTCCAAACAAGCCTCAAGAGCATCATTCATATCACAAAGTAGACAATCTCTATTTCTATCTTGCTCTGTTGCCCTTGTATAAACTTGAGAGAGGGAAATAAAGGATAGAGAATCAAAAAAAAAAGGGAGGGGACAGAGCAATGAAAAGGTACAGGGATGACTGTTGACAATAAAATAGCCAGGGAGCAGGAACACTGAGACAAAAGTGGCTGAGAGAACACATGCCCACATAAAGTGTGGTGGGCATCTTGAGCTGCCATCATGGTTACAGAGGCTCTAGACTTGCAGAGCTGGAAGTGGTCTTCGGTTATTTACTTCAACCTTCCTGCCTTACAGACAGAGTGACTAGCACCTGGAGAGTGATGAGGCTCACCCAAGTCTTGTTTAGACTTAGCACCAGAACTAGATGTTAGCCTTCCTGGTATATTTAATTTACATGTCTACCAATATTTGCTTTCACCTGGGTTAATTGTGATTTGGGCCCTAAAAAATATGACTTCTCAGCTAGAATCAAGAAGTGATAGTATGGGACTGAAGTATCCACAAAATTAGGTATTCACTAAATTTATTATGTGGCAAATAATGTGTCTGTGGGTCAGAACATCCCGCAAATTATTAATGGCTCATGGAGCCTCTTCTGATGGAGTTATGGAGAAATGCAAGCCCTGTTCATTTTCTCCAAAACCATGAACAAAAGCAGCTTGATAATTTAAAAGGTAAAGGAACTTCTGTTCTGTTGAAAGAGAGGTACTTGAAAAGCCCCAAACTAGAGACAAAGAAAGAATAGAGCTAGGATGATTAGCTCCTTAATTATTTAGAAGCAATTCTAGTGAAGATTAAAAAAACACCATGGCCTGGTCTGTAGTTAAACCCTATGGTATATAATTTTAGCAGTCATCTAGGAGACAGCCAATGGTGGGGTATAATTATGGAAATGCGGACACAGCAGAACACAGTGGAAACCAAATTAATTTTCAACATGCATACCCAAGACCTAATAAGAAACTTCCATTGATGATGAGAAAATAATTAGGAAATAAAAAAGTGAGTGAGTATGTGAGCAAATATAGAAAATGAACTGAATTCTCATTACTCTGTCTCTTTGCTCTTTCCACTAGCTCTTTGCTCTCCAATCTGAGGAAATAGCTACATCGTGAGAATTTCCCTACCATGTCCTCTGAATGCAGGTAAGAATCTGGACTAATGTGTCAAGGAACTTTTTAAATCAACCCGCTTCTGCTGGCATGAGGAGAAAGTTAATAAGAAAAATACCTAAACTGTATATTTTTGAAGTTATTTTTAAAAAGCATTAAATAATTAACAATAACTGAATTTACCATGGACCCAGTTAGAGACCCAGGAAATCTATAAAATTGCACCTGAGGGTAGAGCTGAAAGATGACAGCTGCTTTGAGATCCTTTTAGAAACAAAAATGGAACAAGAAAAACAGCAACTTGTTTAACATTTGGAAGTCAGAAGTTCACATCATCACTCTCAGGCTGCTGTTGGAAGGTATTAAATATCTCTTGGCTATAATGTCTATATTTATTAAAAGCCTATAACCCTCTCATTATCAGAAGGAATAAGTGATAGTAAACATTTTGTCAGATAAAAGGTACCGTGTGCAGGCTCAACAAAAAGGAGAAGCAATAACTTTGCGTTAGATCTCATTTCAGCTCTATGGAACACAAGTTTCAGAAAAGAGGAGAAAAATGAAGTTACATATGAGCAATGGTAAATGGGATTCTCTCATCCTTTCACAGCCTTGGTCATGGTGTTCTTTATCTATTATCAATTATCTGCTGCTACTTAACATATTACCCCCAAATTTAGCATCTTAACAATAGACGTATTATCTCACACAGTTTCTATGGGCCAGAAATTCAAGAGTTGCTTAGCTGAGGTGGTTCCAGCCCCGGGTACCATACAGGTTGCAGTCAAGATGTTGGCTCACTCACAGACTGTAGGCAAGAGGACTCAGTTCCTTGCTGGCAGTTAGCAGGAGGCCCCAGTTATTCAGCAAATGGGACTCTCTGTAGGGCTGCTTTTCATGGCAAGGCAGTTGACACCACTCAAAATGAATGATCAAAGGTCAAAGTGAAGTCTCAATGAGTTTTGCTCTATCTTTGGAGGTCACACTCTTTCATTTTCACAATAGCTTATTGGTTACAACAGCCTATTGGTTACATGACAGCCCTATTCAATATGGGTGGGGAATTTACAAGGACATGCATACCAGGAGGTGAGGACCCCTGGAGCCATTTTGAAGTCTAGGTACAAAGTCATGTACATGCCAACCTCAAAAGTTTTGCCTTTGCTACCATATGCCAATCACTTACACAATTACTTATTTGACTTGTTTCTTTACAGGAACTTTTTAAACAAACCCATCTTAAGCAATAATATCCATGAAATCATGGATCTGATGTGGTCTTTATATTTATTTTAACAAATAATTCCCAAATAAAAATATAACTGTTAAAACAAAATACATTTTTTTTGGTATCTCCTAATAACAACTCAAGCATCACTAGTGTTATATGCACTACCCTTTGAAAAGCACCACCAGGCACAAACTTGAGCTGGTCTTGCTTGAAGGAGACCCTTGTAAGTCTATTGTAAGTGAGGAGGCATTTGTTTCACGTGACATTCTCACTTACACTAAATTCTCTAGAAGTCTAAGATAATAGTCCTCGCAGGTCGAGTACAATGCTATAACAAAGTCCATTGGCTACAGTGGCTATAACTGTCACTTGCCAGCTATCATTTATAATTACTTAAAACAGAAAGAGTTTAAAGAATTGAACCATAAGGGTAAAGCAGATTGTTCTCAGGACATAAAACTAAACTCACCTTATTATGTATTGTTACACTGCTGTCCACTCTCATTACCAAAGGCCATAAAGCAATTTTAACTGTTCCCTGGAATGTCACCAGCAATAAGCGTTTTTGCTTTACTGTTCTATTGAGCTGAATGTAATAGTTGTACTTTAGAAATCTTACAGCTGGGAAATCTAGAAATGCCTTCTGGTATTTATGAATTCATTAAAATATTTGGTTTGGGTAACCTTGGTGTTACCTTAAGTATGGTTGGGGAAATCATGTCATAATTACTGAATTTTATTAGCAACCAGCTTTTGAATCATAAAATTCACTGTTCTGAAATTCAGAGCCTATTCTGTCCCATGCTGGTGACTTTATCTCTTCTCTTGGCGGTATGAGCTCTCATTATACTTTCCTGAGGGTGCTATATGGACTGGCGTCCTTCATGACCAAAGGTGACAATATAGACAATGTAAGAGTGTGGCTGATGGAAACAATATGCTGAGTTCACAGAGCAACTTCCATACTTCAGCCTACAAAGCCTGTGACCATTTGCAGGATCAAGAGTCTAGTTTTTACCATATATCTGTCAGCTTTATGGTTTGGCTTTATTTGAGAAGAAAATAATCTCTGTTACTTTAATTCTAAATTCTTACCTGAATGAATGTGATCATTACATTCTTAGTTATCTTCACCATTCTGTTCCATAAAATTGAGAATTGCGGGGAGCTGCAAAGCAGTACGTGCATCCACCATACCAGAGTCATTATTTTTCTGAGTATTTGCTCTTTCATCAGTTGCCTTTTATTAATGAGTGTAACTTTCTAGAATAAACGTTAAGTAACTTCAAATTATATATGCCCAGCCTCTGCTTCATTAAGGCTAAGGAGAGAAATGTGAGCCTGGATTATTCTGGAGGCAGTTAATACCAGGTCTCTCTTATACCGTTTGTGACTTTGGCATATTTGGAGATGATTTATACAGTTATTATTTCCCTCTTCCTTTATAACCAGATAGGAAGATGGTGTGTCTTCACAATCAAAACTCATTAAAGCTAAACAAATAAAAAGAGATGTATTGTAAGGCATAAAGGACCCTTGTGCAGGTATCTAAGAAAAAGAGCCCAGGTAGATGTGACGCTGCAAGTGGATTGGAAGGTCACACAGTGTTCTTGCTGGCTCTCAAACACCACATGCATCATCCTTGTTTCTTTCTTGCTCCTCCACACTCAAGCAGCTTCCTTTGCTCACCACTGGTTGCCTGGCCCTTACACTGCTTGAGGATTTCAATGCCAACCATCATCTAACAAATATCTCTGTGTGCCTCTATTCAAATTAGAGAAAGAGAAGATCTGAATGTTATTTATACCTTCCCTGTGTAGATACAAAGGGAGACGATGTTAACGAGAGTCCCTGGTTTCCTGAGTGGGATGAGCAATATGGAAATACAAGGTTATCCAAAGAGAGATTTTAAATTGCTCTGGGAGAGAGAAGGAAAAGTGAAGAGAGATGAATTATCTTGGTAGCCAGTAAGAAACGAGGAGAGTTGTTAAGAAGGACATACATGTTTCATCAGGACTTTTGTTATGTTTGTTGTGTATTGTATGATGTAATTCTCTCTTTGGTTTCCCATTCATATCTTCTGTAATATCTATTTGTGCTAAGCTTGTGTGGTCAAGATTGCCTCCTGGGGATTGTGACCAAATTTTAAGTCAAAGTGAGTAGGGTTGAGAGCAGAGAGACTTCAGGCAGCATTGTAGTCATTCTTGTGAGACAGGAAAGGAACCCAGACTCTTCCACTTCCCTGCTCAGTCTCCCATGATTTAGCACACATCAACTTTTCCAGGCTTATTTCCCAGAAGTTATCCTCGCATGCCCACAGTCCAGCTCAAATGAGCTGGTTTCTAGATGCCCCCTTTTTTTTTCATACTTCTGTGACTGTTCATGTTACTCTGCCTCCTCATCAAAATTCATTTCAGCAATTCCGAAAGCTACTCTACCTAAAGACCCAACCCAAATGCTACTTTCTCCAGCCAAAATTAACCCCACCTTCTTCTCAGCTCTTATAGCACTTAGTACTCCTATAACACCTCTATCACATTGTGCCTTGCACTAAACTTACTGATTGTGTGCTTTACCTAAAGAATGGAAGCAAAATCTAATCTCTCCGATTCCCCACAGAGGCCAGACACACTGCATGGCAGATATGAGCCCTCAGTAAATGTTTCCTGAATTGAAATAAAAAGGTCAGTAACTTAGTTGACTCTGTGGCTTGTACAGGGTATGTTCTATCCAGACTTTCACAGTGTAATACTAGAAAATAGTAGGCTAAAACATGTGCACTTAAAAAATGCATTTTTATGATGAAGATATGTTGGCTTCTTGCTGATAAAGTAATGAGATTTAATCTACCTGCCACATAGTCTGTCCTGAAGACAAATAAGATAAATGGGAAACATGCAAACACTTTGGGAATTGAAAATATGCTATATAAATATAAGATAGTGCATATTTCTGTAGCCATTATATGGAGTAGGATCTCTATAACATAATGACTCTCTGTACTGTGTAAGCATGATAGTTCAGGTTGATCTGAACCCTCCAAGTCAATGCTACTCAAACTGAACCATGGATCAGTGCCAATCCACAAACTGTTACTGGTCTATAATGAGATAAATGGAAACACTGGGAGTAAGCATTAAAACCTTTCACAGAAATTTGACAGGATAATATAACTACTGAATTTAATAATAAAATGTGGCTTATGTCTATATGCCTGTCTTATTAATTTCATTTTGCCAGTAATTGATTTTCATTGTTATACAATAGAATTGACCCACAACAGATTGCAAACAAAAACAAAGCATCAAGAACATAATTTGAGAAGCACTGATCTAAGTAATGCTCTCCAGAATGGAAAGTAAGGGAGTTGGGAGTAAGGGAATAAGAGGAACACACGATTGTAGATAGGATGAAATACTAGTATAACAAAATATCAACAACAGTTAATATAAATATCCACAAAAGTCAATCTAACAATGACATATGAATGGTAGTAAGAAAACAAGCATCTGAAATGTGACAGTTCTGGTTCATAGTATTAATTTTGATCAAGGTCTTTCTAAAACCTTTTGTGCATTTTAATCCTCTATGCAGACTCCTCTCTCTGGTAAATGAGCTTGCATTCTGGAATGTCTAGAGAAAATAGCATTCTCTTCTATTGTTAACTGAATTTGGGAGTTGTGTTTACTGGAAGAAAACATCTATGCACCCATTTAATTTAGCATTAATAATGATTCCCCATGTCATCTGTTAGTCTTCTCTATGAAAAAATCTTTCACAAAGTCAATAAGCCAGTTTCTTTAAAATACAACTGAGCTTTGGTAATCCTTTGCTTTTTAACCAATTTGGTGCTGATATTTGATAGAAAGTCTTCTTAATGTGGATCAGGATGATAATCTGAGAAAACAATATGAGGTACTCATTGTCAGAGCATCTTGGTTTTCCAGATTATCAAGATAATGCATTTCACAGAGGTTTAGAATGCGTTCTACGGATTTCTCATACTACTGAAAATAATATTTGCCAGTGTCTTCAAATTTAATATTCATAAAGCATGTTGCGAATTTTGATTGGAGGAAACTGGGATTCATTATTTCGATGAATAATGAGGCAGGGGCTGGATTAGGATGTCAGGTTTTGCGTTGTGCCTGATGCAGTGGGGTTGCTCAGAAACACTTCCTCATACTTGGGAGTCAGAGTCCTTGACACTACATCAATCTAGGCCAGCAGTTCTGAACCTGTGGGTCGCGACCCCTTTGGGGGTTGAACGACCCTTTCACAGGGGTCGCCTAAGACCGTTGGAAAACAAGAAGATATTTACATTACGATTCATAACAGTAGTAAAATCACAGTTATAGCATAGCAACGAAAATAATTTTATGGTTGGGGGTCACCACAACATGAGAAACTGTATCAAGGGGTCGCGACATTAGGAAGGTTGAGAACCACTGATCTAGGCAAAGCAGGAGGACATTTTGATCCACTTATAATGTAATTTTAACTTTCCTAGATTTCACTTTGGTTTTCTTTCCTTCCCTTGCTAGTCAAATCTGCCCCTAGGCTGCTCAGGTCCTATGTGAACTGAACTTGGGAACCTCAGCAAGCCCCATGTTATGACCCTCTGCAGTGCATATTCCTTCACTATCTCTTTCCTTCTACTTTTCAGATTATCTTTACTCATTTTGCAAAGTAGCCTATAATGTTTCCAGTTTTTTTTTTAAAAGGAATCGTAATGTTTTATAAAGCTGATGATGCTCCACTAAAGAAAAACTCAGTTTCCTGCTAGCCAAATGGCTTCCTATAGTACATTAATATCCAAATCTGTTCTAAATGATGTGTATCTACAATTACTTTTTATGTAACTGTCTGTGAGGGCAGAGAAAGTCTAGGTTACACTTGCCAGAAGCTCTGAAAGCTTTGGTAACTTTTAAAATTCTTTAGTTCAGTAAGCATAGGTTTAAAGCCAAGGGTACAGTTTTGAAAAGAATGAGATGGCTTCTTGATTTTTCAACTTATCTTTGACTCTTGACCTTATTCCTCAGCAATCTTTGATGGCTCTTCATGAATGTTTTTCCAGTCTGATTTTACTCAAGCCTCTGATTTCAAACCATGATATACTCTTAACGCACTTCCTTCAGCCCTGAGTTTGGCTGCAGCTGCTTCATAACACCCTTTCCACCTATATTCCCTTGACCCTGAGGACATGTCTAGGCTCCTCAATATATTAGGCCATCCCTGACCAGCCCTCCCATTCTCCTGCCTCTGCCCTCCCTCCCAATGACAGATTGATTGATCCCTTCCGATCCTTGGTTTTTCTCTCCACCTGCTGCTTAGATATGTTTTGATCTTCCCTTATCTTTCTCCCTGGACTTGTCAAAAATTCAACGTCCTTAAAGACATCATAGCTAGTTCCATCTCCACCATCACCCAGTTCCTTTTCTTTTAAACGCATCTCCATTTCCACACCCAGTTATGGCTCCAAATTCCTGAGAGGGAAATCCAGGCCCCTTGAAATGTTATCAAGGGAACCGAGAGCTTGCGAGTTTGACAATTTCAACAGGGGCCAACCTTTCTCTGGCTCCTTCCTGTAGCTCTCTCCTGTCCTTGGTTAAATTGTGAGTCCTGTTTTGCTGACTGTAGTTGTGTTAATGACATTGCTTTACCTATACCTGACCATGTACTAGAACTTAAGTAACAATGGAAACTCATGATCCAATGGAAGCAAGCAGAGAGTCAGGCAAGCTTGATGTGTCTTGTTACTTGGTGACAAAGCACTTGATGGTATACCTCCATCATCTCTGTTTATCTACTTGTAAATTTTACAAAGGTACCAACTAAGAAACCTGAAATGCCACTTCTCACTGTGCTTACCACTGCATGCCCCCTGAGTACGCTGTCTGCACCCTGCCCTGAATTGCACTCTGCCTGTTGGCATCCTATGTGAGTATTTCACTTGGCACCAGTAGCAGCTGCTCCCTATGGCAAAGCAGCTGTGAAAGCTGATCAGCCAGGATTTTTCACTTGAATCAGTTTAAACTGAGCACAAAAGATGTGGCAGACATAACTAGACACATTTTCTAGCCGTTTCTTTCAAATTTGCCATCTTAGCCTTATGCTAGGAGCAGTGTGTTTGGTCTGTGGCTCCGGTATTTGGAAGAACACCAAAAGTCTCCTGTCACTGATAATGCCCTTTTCCACATTAACCCTTCAAGTCTCAATGATTTTTTTTAAAGAACAGATAGAATTTACTTCCCCAGGGCCTGGCTTCTCTCTCCATGGGTGACATTATAACACATTTCATCTTTTTTGAAGTGAGCAATCTGTCAGTTTCAACACATCATTTGTTTTTCTCTCATATTTACATCTGTAGCCAAAACTCACTTCCCTGCAGCTCTCAAAAGAATTAGGTCTTTTATCTATCTACCTACCTATTTATCAATTTATCTATTTATTTAACATAGGGATTGCCTTCTCATCTGTGTTCTGAATGATTTCGTACATTTTCTTTTCTACTCACCCTAAACCTGTCCATTTGATCTTTCCACCGTGTGCATCCTTTCCTGCTTGCTTTCACCAGGCTATCCAAGACTGTCTTGCTTTGCAGTTCCCTTCCTTTTCATCTGTCCCTGTGCTCCTGTGTTAATGTAATCCTATTTGAGCCTTTATCTATTATCAATTCCCATGTGTGGGCCTTATTTCAGATTGAACTCCACCTCAGAGACGCTAGACCTAGATAGATCACCTATACAGATCACAACTGTCAAAGAGAGCAGAACTTGATCCTGTCTACCAGTCTCATCTTGACAAATGTCCTTGGGGAAACCAGTTCATTGTGATCACAAGGGTCTCTAATATCTATGTTTACATTGTGCTTACACAGTTTGGGCCATGTTCTAAGTGCTCCATACGTAGGCACTCATTGAATTCTTACAATGCTAGGTGACGTGGAGAATCATTACTCCATTCACAGCTTAAGAAATTGAGGCACAGAGGGAAAAGTGACTTGCTGGCTACACAACTCCTCAGACAGAAGCCAGGCTTACCCAGGCAGTATTACCACCAGAGCCTGTGCTTTTTGCCACCATGCTCCAAAACAGTGTTTCAATCGCACATGTTTCTGTTTTTCCTCTCTTCTCCTGGTCCCATTAGCTTCTACATTGTCAGGCTCCTCATTCAGCCACATTCTGACAAACCAGAAAAAAATATCCTCTTTTGTACTGATGAAATCTTATGACTTCTTCAGTCAACACACTTCCTTTCATTTCTTTGTAGAAATTAAACTCAGTTCCTTTATCTCCATGGCCTTCCCCCAGATGCTTGCCTCCAACTCACTTTATCAAATGTAGATAAATGTTTGTAATCCTCTTACTGACATTTGCTGTCATGAGATACAGCTTCAGAGAGCACAGGCTCCCCCATGGATGCTCACAGTCCTGATATGAGGTCCCAACCCTTGAGAGTCTAGAATAAAATTTCTTATCTCCCCCTTTGAGTCATTTATTAACCATTACACAATTTAGGTCACTTTAGAGTACCGAGGGCTATTTGCAGTCCTTTACCTTCTCAATCAAGGCTGAAATTCAAGCACATAATAAAGCAGACTCTTCACCAGAACAGCTGGTATGGTGGTAAAGGAAGGAACACAGGAAATGGCATGAATTTAAACATTTTAAATGACTGAATAAAATGCTTAATTTTCAAAAGGTGAACATTTGAACTTGATAATGCAGTAGCCATATGTTGTGCAAAAGTTTAGTGGGATGAACTGAAAAGTCTTGGCCTTATGTCAAGCTACATGACTCCTCCCCATTTAAAGGGCAGGACCCCTCTTTTCTACCCTTCCTTTGCTTTTATGATGAGGAGCATGGATTCAGTTGGACACTGAGGAGTTAGCCTTGATTCTTCTTTTTCATCACCCACCCCCTTCCCCTTCCAATCTACCCACTTAAAAAAATAAAAAGTCTTTCTCTGGTTTACAAAGCCCAACACACCCTGGCCCCCAACTACTTCTCTGACTTTCTCTCTCCCCCTCACCTACCACACACTCTACATACTGGACTGCTTTCTGTTCCATGACCATTCTCAAGTCAACTCTTTCCTCTGTTCAATATGCTTTCTCCCCTGATCTTTTCACAGTCATCTTTTTTTGTCAATAGAAGCCTGCCTGAACCATCTAGTCTAAAGGAATTGTTCAGTGAGTCTGTCATATCACCTTATGTTTAATTGTCTGCCTTGTATTAATGATAGTTATAAAACCTTAAATTGGGAATTTTACCCAAATTGTAGCTGAGTTCACAAAACAAGAGGTGAAAAATACTCCAGTATACTAAAATGAAGTGCTAGACTGCCTGCCTATACAGTACTTTTCAAAGAGGTGAACAACTCGGTTTTACAACTCTTGCTTAACCTTCCAGCAAATGGGATGAAGGAGCCAAGAGGGATATTGGACATTCAAAATTAAATTTTCAGAGGGAATTGATGATGTGCTATGAGCCACTCCTCCAAAATATATACACTGAAGAGGAAAGGGGTGGGAGATGCAGCCCTGTTTTCTGTTTCCTGGGAGACTTTGATAAGACTACTCCGTGATCTTGACCTATATCTCCTTGCATCATGGGCCACAGACTCAAAGCTAGAAATATCTAAAGGCAATAGACTAGATGCTCTGGAAGATATGCAGGAAGAAGAAGCTAAGCCAAGAATGGTCTGGACTCCCAGAATTTATTATAATAAAGGATACATGGAAGTTCCCTCTTGACCAGATAATGGTCACAAGAGAGAGCCCAGCCTAGAGCCCTTTTAAATCCTATCAAAAAGGCAAAAGTGATCCTAAGAGGAGCAACCCAAAGTTCCTGCCCTAACCCAGCAAAACTCTTTTCTGACAGTGATAGCCCCTGTGAAAATAATAGTTAAGACACTTGATGGCACAGTTTTCCAGACTTGCCTGATAATAGGACCTGACCTAGTGGCTTGTTAAAAATACAGATTTCCAGGCTTGCCTGCTGAAGCTGTTCATTTGTAGGACTGGGTGAGTCCTACAAATCCATTCTTGTACACATGGCCCAGGTTGGTCTTATCAGGCAATTGTGGGAAACATTTGATGGAGAATCCCAGGGTAGGGGTGGTCCAGAAAAGCCTACCAAGGAGGTGGTGCTTGAGTTGAGGTCTGAATGATGAGAAAATATGGGAGAAGTGGAGTTCAAGCAGAGGAAATGCCAAGGGCAAAGGCCCTGAGCACAGTATTAAGTGCCCTGCTTCAGGAGTAGAGCAAGTCAATAAATCATAGCTTCACCCATTAGGAAAATCTTGGCCAAAGGAGGTTAGAGGGGAGGGCAGGAGCGATGGTAAGGAGTTTGGAAGTTTTCTAAATCAGCAGGCAGTCATTGGATGGTTTTAAGCAGAAGAATGTCTTTTTAACAAGTGTTAATAACGTCACCTTCATATACCAAGACCAAGTTAAGTATATAGGTGTGTGTGTGTGTGTGTGTGTGTATGTGTATATATATATTTTCATTGAATTGATAGATACACAAACATACAAACAGGCAACATATACCTGTGTGTGTGTTTATATGTGTGTGTGTGTGTGTGATGCCATATATGTGTGTATATCTATAAATTTAAAAAATGTGAATCAATATTATCATTATTATATAACAATTATGGTTTCGAAGGGAAAAAACTTAAGGCCTATAAGTATAGGCCTGATACATGTTATTGGATTTTGAGTGTGTTCCAAAGAGAACCCACCGAAGAGCTAAATACATTTAAAGTTAATAAAAATAAAAGGTTTTTTGAAAAAAATTACATTTAAGCTTTTTACTCAACCACTTTATTCCACTTTCTGTCAAAGCTTATGTGCTTGCAACGGAGTACAGTAATTTGTGCATTTTCTATTTTTAAATCATCCATTGTTCTAGTTAAATATTATGAGTGTATGCCAATTCCTAAAAGAGTCATGCAGAGATAGTAGGTACAATTGTGTTGTACTCAAAATAAATTTGTGGTTAAAGCAAATATTTAACAACTGTCAAATACTGGATTGCATGGAAAAAAACTAATCCTACATCGCTCGGGTAAATCAAAATTTCAAACCAAACCTTCCTTCTGTGCTTTATAATTAGAAAACCAAATGAGGAACTTTTCTGGGCAGCCTGGTTTAAAAAACCCACCTGTTTTCTCTTCTTTTAAAATATATTTTTGAAGTCGATACTTTCAAGCAAAGGATTTAAATGACTCAGAAAACTAAAATTGAATTGTAAAAAGTAACCCTCTCGCGTTTAATTACCATGTATATTTGTGATATACTACAATTTGATCAATGGCTTATCAGGCATTAATTATAAATAATATTTGCTGAAAAAGAATCAAGCTCAATCTATGCGAAGAAGACATTTTACCTGAGGAATGGCAACCCTCCCACAGATCCTCCGTCAAGCCTCATGTTTATATTTTCTCCACCTTGGCCACTCCCCTCCATGGCTTCATCTGGAACCTTGTCAGTATTCAGAAGAGCTATGCTGAAATATTAAATTCAGGCATTCAGGTCTCTGGCCACCAATCCCATTCTGTCAGCCCCGTCACATCTGTCTTCAGCCTCTCGGGGACATTTAGTGTCTTGACTCTTCTCATCTCTCTATCACTACCTTCCCCGTCCAAATTCAAGTCCATGCTCCATATTTCAAATACCCACTTCTTAAATCCTCAGCCCCCTTTTCCTATTGTCCTTTTTTCTGAGTACTTGGAAAAATTTGAACTTAGCTAGATCTAATGCTTCCTCTTTTCTGAAAGAATACCCCACTGCTCAGTGCTTCAGGAGAAAATTCATATAAACTTGCAGATTGGTACCAACCTGATGGCATGCTTTTCAGCCTCAACTGTGTTCTCAAAGAGTTCTGACAGTCTAATTTTTTTCAAAGTATTTATAACTTCTCTTTTCTTCTTAAATCTCCAACCCCCTCACTGACTCTCACTTTCGTCGGGTTACCTTTGTTTAGCTTCACAAAGAAAAGAGAAGCTATCAAAGTAGAATAACCTCCATCTCCCACTCAGATTGTAGATTTCCCTGTATGCCGACCATACTTTTCTCATTCCCTCCCATGGAACAGGATCTCTTTTGTCTAAAACTAGCCTTTCTATCAGGAGGAATCCCATTTTCTGTCACCTTTTTAGGAGACCATGCTGCAGTTGCTGTCTCCTTTTTCTACTGTATCCTCAAAATCTCATCCTATATTGATTGATTTTCACAAGTAATGAAATGAGTAAGTCTTCCCAACATAAAAATTAAAAATATGTATAAAACCTCTCTGGGTATTTCTCTGTGTCCCCTACCCCTTCTCTCTTCATCCCTTAATAGCTAATTTTTTTGAAAGGACACTCTACTTGCCATTTCCTTTTCCTTACCTTCAATTTAATCTTTTTTTTTTCTTTTTTTTTTTAAGAAGCTGAAAGCACTTTTTTTTTTTAAGATTTTTATTGGGGAATTGGAGGAAGGGGAACCGACAAGTTGCTGTCCTTTTGTTCTTCAGTCTAGTTGTGGAGGACATTGCTTCATTGGCCCAAGTTGGCACCATCATTGCACTCTTCCCGGGTGAGGCAGATCAGTTGCTGGCTTCTGGACAGCCGCTCACGGCGGCTGCTGGCCGCTCACGCTGGCTGCTGGCTACACACGGTAGCCCATGGCAACCCACTGCCACAGAGGCTGCAGCCCATGCCATCGCCGAGACTCAAGGCAGCCCAGCTCCAGGTTGAGTTGTTGTTCAGCATCTTAGCTGTAGAGGGCAGTGTCACTGGCCCTCATATGTGGGATCCGAACCGGGGCCCTCTGGCGTCCCAAGCCAGCTCTTAACCATCGCGCCACTTGGCCGGCCCTTCAATTTACTCTTTGATCCATCAGTAATTGGCTTCTGTGTCCACCACACCACCGAAAAGACTCTCACCAAAGTCACAAATGACCACCGTGTTTATCAAGATTCCAGCAGGAACAAGGTGGGACATTCAAGTTGAAATTATTTGAAGAGGATGTACTAGACTATTAAGGGCTATTGATAGTATATAGTGAACCCTCAAGGGACAGCACAGTACTCCAGAGCTAATAAATGTAGGAAGTTCCTCCCCACCCTAGTCCAAAAGGGGTAAACAGCTCTTTCCCTCCCTCTGAAATGTCCATGGCTTTTCAATCTCTGCATTTGGCAGGTGTTTAAAGTGACTCTTTTCACTTATGCATATTTTCTTGGCCTCTTCTAAGAACTCTCATCACTAGAGATATCTCACCTACCTCACTCAACCTTTCCAGCTGGTCACCTGTCATTTCTCCTATCTAGTAAGTCACCTCCAGACTCTTTCTGCTGAGGCCTTCTTGACCCTCCAATAGCCTTGTTGGGAAGAACCCTAAAAAACCCAGACAGCTTTTATACATGGCCCCCATCTGGGCCTCTGTCTGTAGGCCGTGCAGTTACCTCCAAGAGCAGCACTCTCCTCTGGAACCAGGGGTCACTTCAGCTAGCCACCTGTCCTCATAAGATGCTCAGGCATAGAGCCCACCATGCCCCCATAGTTCCTGGAGATACATATGAAATGCTCTATGTGGTCTCCTTGAAGCCTCTCTCACTTGAATTAAAGTAACAAAGATGCGCCTCTCAGCCCTGTCCTCCACAAAAACAATCCAAGCACTCTGACACCTCTCTCTGAAGAATCCTCCTAGAAACCCCTTCCCCTCTCATGAGCTTTCCAAGCTCTTTATAAGCTGGAATCCGGTGATCAGCTAAAGGTACCACAAACCCCCTCCTGTGCAAGTTCAGCTGAAGTTGGTTGACAACTCAAGTGTGAGGTGAGAATACACTTGTCACCTCTAGTTCAGGCCTCAGCTAAAATCCAAACAGGAAGAGCCTAATTTAACATCCTGTTACCATTGAGATGCAGATATTTATTAAACACTTATCAAAATTATAAAGTTATATTTGACTGTAAGACAAATCTGGCTAAACAAATCCTAGAGAAGGCTGATGAGGAAAACTACAACCAGTAGGATGGCAGACAAAGCTCAGTGCACAGGACATGTCAAACTCATCTAACCCCACCTGTGGTGCTTGTTTCCGTAGAAATGACACTTTTGAACCCATATTGCACATAGGTGAAAATAAACTGTTCTTTACATTTATGAAGCATGAGTATAAGAGAAAGAAATGAGTCATATGCCTTCAATTCAGAATATTTGCATATGTGTTTTGTGTGAAAAACTAGAGAACCAACGCGGGATGTTTATTCCAATACACATGAAATATTTTCCACAAAATTATTCAGATACTGAGAGAATAGAAAAAGACTACATATTTAATATTTCTCTCTCAGCTTTTTTTTCCTTCTTTCTTTTTATTTTATTTTTTTTTAAGTTTCTTTATGTGCAGGAGGTCCTACATGATATAAGAAGAGAACTGACCTCTTAAAACCTCATTTCAACCTTGATGTGTGACCTCAGGGGGACTCACTTGCTCTTTGGAAAGGTTTTAAGCTTTATAAGAGGCATAGGCATAGAATGAATGATTCCTGAAAAGCTACATTGCTGTGGGCTGGATTATGTCTCCTCAAAAGATATGCAGGGTCATGTCCTCTAGCACCTGTGAATGTGATGTTATTTGTAAGAAAGGTCTTTGCAGATGTAATCAAGTTAAAATGTGGTCATATTTCAATAGGGCAGCTCCTCATCCAGTATGACTTTAGTGTCATTATAAGAGGAAGAAGCCATGTGATGACAGAGGCAGAGATTAGAGTGATGGCAGCTGCTAGGAACACCAAGGATTGGTGGCCACCATCAGAAACTAGCAAGAGGCAAGGAAAGATTTTTTATCCTGAGTCAAAGAGGGAGCATACCTCTGCTGATAACTAGATTTCAGAGTTCTAGCCTCCAAAACTGAAAGAGAATACATTTCTATGGTTTTAAGACAACCAGGTAGTAGTACATTTTTAGAGCAGCCCTAGGAAACTGAAACACACTGAAAAGAAAATTTCAGTTGCAAATGCAAAAAATGTAAGGTCATTTTCTTATGAGATGTTGGTCTTCTCTGAGTACTTGCGTGATTGAGAAAGTTGCTTGGATTGATGGTCTTTTTCTAGAGAGTGGCATTTCCCATTTGGGGGCTGATATATTGACTGCTGTTGGAAATAGTTGTTTCAGTTCAGCAACTGTTCTTGTCCTCTCTGACTTGAGTATTGACCTAAATAGATTTCAAACCCTATCGCTCTTCAGCAGTCATAAAAGGAAACAATCTCATTTCTCAGAATGACGAAAGAGTGCCTTATAAAATTATTTGTAGAGATACGATTTTTTAAATATTTGCTGTTTTCTATATAAGGAAGAAAATTCTTTAGCTTGGGCAAATTCTGATGCAGCATAAAAATAATTCAGTTAAAATTTCAGTCATTTTACATAGATTATCAGTAAACTCACAACAACTCCATTCACCCAAACAGTCTGTCAGTTCTGTGATAACCAAGAATTCTGGGTATCACTGTAACTACAAAAATCCACAAATTAAGTAAGTGTTCTCATTAGAACATTTATAATCATATTTTTACATTGTATTCTTAAATTGGAGTTATTTACTTATGTTTGTCTCACTGACTTAAAAATCAAGGAGATTTCTGTGTAGGGTGCTGGGAATATTCTAAAATCACATTGTGGGGTAGCCTCATAACTGTAAATTTATGTAAATCTTTGAATTGTACACTTAAAAGTAAATTTTATGACATAAATTATATGTTGATAAAGCTGCTTAAAAAAAGCAAAGATTCTCCTCTCTTAATAGGAAATATCAGTTCTCATAACTCCTTGTAGAGTCGGGTTTAGTAAATGACAATTGGTGAGGGCGTTTGCATTACTGTGGTAATAGCCCAAGCTAAACAAAGATGCCTTGTGTTATGTCGCAATTTTTGTTTTGCCCAAAGATGAATGTGGATAAACCAGGACATTGTTGGATGAAAGAAATTCCAGAGACTATGGTCCTCCGGAGGATAAGTAAGTGTTTCCCCTGCAGTGGGTCTAGAGCCTGGGATTAATCTTTTGAAGACCTTTCAAGACATTATCTTTACAAGAATTTCCACTGCTTTCAACTACACCCCGCACCCCATCACACACACTGATGATATGAAAAGGGTTTAGTCAAGCAAATGATATAATCTATCGCCTTGGAACCACTGAAGAAATATTTATATCTTCAAAGTGTTCAAATCTATGACTCTGACCACTAACCAATGGGCCTGTTCCATGACAAAACTGTAGGCTATGTTAACTCACTGAGCAAGTGGTGGGAGAGACAGAGGGAGTGAGGAGGCTGGCTTTTGAGGAATTAAGATATCCCGTATGTTCAGGATGGAGGTGCCCTGCCTTTCTCCCTAAAGAAGTAGGGCTGATCCAGAAGCTACAAAGACTTCACAAACGCCCTCTTTTTTCACAAACATGACACTGCTCTCCACACACTTTTACGCAGTGACTTTTCTTTTATAAACAGCTCTCAAGCTACTTGAATTTTAGGAAATCCGAATATATTGGATGGTCTTGCTTCTCCAGGCCTGTTTTATAAGTATGTCCACTCTGCTGTGGGTATTGGGAGGCCACCTTCTAAAGGCCACATCAACTTCATCCCTGTCCTCTTGCTGGGGTTGGTCTCAGCCATTGGGAAGCCATGACAGGAGACTGGGGAGTGGAGGGAAAAGAAGCTGGAGATTTTATTCCACGGCAGACCTTGGGCTGTCAGCAGCTTGGCTCTCAACAAGAAAACTCTCCTATAGCGCGGTTCTCCATCAGCTGTGTCTCCCCGTCTCTGAGACCCAGTAACTGCTTCCTCATCTTAGCTTTCAAGTCTAGTAGTGATATTTGCTCCACCACCCTTTTTTCGCTA